CTGCCCCAAGCACGTGCTTGCTTTGCTGGTGCCTAGAGCCGCCCCTGGTCAAAAGCTCTGTCTCCCATTGTGTAATAACACATTTTCAGTACAAATATATAGCATGTTCAAACTGGAGCCATTTTAAACTGCTCTATTTGAGTGCTACCCAAACTGGAAGAACTGTGGCAGAAGCTAGCAATACTTGAACTGTAGTAGTGTAATTAAACTGCTTACAGCAGAATTTAAGTTTACAGCTTTTCTGTTTGATTTTAACAGGGGAAAGTCAAGTTCTATATGTCCTGAATGGCTTAAGTGAGTTAAGAACTAATGAAGTGTTATAACAAAGACTGACAGAGTTTCAAAAGCACCTAGTGGCACTGATTTCCTAAATTCCCTAAATGTATGTCAAATACCACTGGTTTAAGGGTTTGCACCAGTTTGAATTAAGTTGGTTAAAGTGCTACACTAGCAAAAACAACGAGGAGGCCTTGTGGCACCTTAGACTAACACCCCAGCACTAGCAGAATCTTTTGCTAAACTCCAGTGCAGATCCAATTTAATCCAGAAGAGGGCAGAAGCAGTGGACAACACCCACTATATGAGAAAATTCTCCAAGTGGGGAAGCAAATCTAGTCATTTATTTGTTAAATGCACACAGTGTGGTGGTCACTGCTGTGCTATGCAGGACACATAAGGCAGTCCCTGTTTTGAGCGTTGCAGAAAGCTGGACTGGATACAAACTACTGCCGTCTCTTTTTACCCAGTACTTACATTATTTTTAACTTTCAAAGTGGGATGCTTTTAGATCTGAGCTGACATATTTTGTTGACAAGCTCCAGCTGCCGGTTGCTGCACTTAGGAGGAATTTGGAAAATGAGACTAGAGTGAATACAACTTCAAAAAATATGTTGTACTGCATCATAAAATCCAGTGCATTCCTTCCCAGCAATATTGGGACCAACTTGGATACCCTGTTCCCATAGTGATATATTTCTTCACTATGTAACTCAGTGGTTTTCAAACTGTGGGTCGCGACCCAGTACTGGGTCATGGAATGTAAGGCACTGGCTCCACCCTCCCATAGGCTGGTTCCCACCTGCCTTAGCACCCCTGCTGTGCCCACAACCCAACCCTGGGCCCCAATCCCTGCCCCAGCCCTGAGCCCCTCCTGCACCCCAAACCCCTCATCCCCAGTTCCATTGGATTGCAGGCATCAACAATTTTCTTCAGTTGTGTCACCAGAAAAAAAGTTTGAAAACCACTGATGTAACTGACACCTACAGCAGTTCAAGCCCCACTCTACAAAGGTTTTGAACTGACCAGTCTAGTGCATGAAGCATCACAATGAGGAGTTTGTTGACTGTTTATATTGAGGGTTGAGTGATGGGGGAGGGGAAATACCATGCATGTTTTAGTTTCACTCTATTCCAGTCTGACAGTAATGCATGAAAAGCCCAAAAAGGTTATCTAGAATGAGGTGATTTTTAGCAGTCAATACTACAGTAAGAAAAGATTTAATGATTTTCTGCACCCCATAGGCTTCTTTCAAAGCCCTAGACCAGTGAGCATTGTTAGCGTGAAGCAGAACAGACAGCCCTGTCTTGCAACATCTTTATAGACAGAAAATACAAAACCAGATGTGGCAGCGGCTCAGGCACTGATAAAGCAGGCACCAGGAAGATTGCAATGCACACAGCAGCACCATACACGATGGAGGGAACTTAGTGCTGCTTCAAGCCCCTGCTCCAGCCTGGAGCCCCCTCCTGCACCCTGAACTCCTCAGCCCCAGCCCCCTCCCACACCCCTCATGTGCACCCCCAGCCAGAACTCTCACCCCCCCCACCTCAATCCTCTGCCCCAGCCCAGTGAAAATGAGCAAGTGAGTGAGGGTGGGGGAGAGTGAGCAGGGGGCAGGGCCTCAGAGAAGGGAAGGATGTTCAGCAGAGTGACCAGATGTCCCATTTTTAAAGGGACAGTCCCATATTTAAGCCCTGCAGATGTTCCAATTTTTTCTTAAAAACAGGCAAATTGTCCTATATTTTCTGTCTCCCCCACATCAGCACTGGCGGATCCTGCTGCTGGCCGGAGCCCTGCGCACCAGCCCACCAGCGCTGGGGGGCGGGGGGGGTCCAGTGATCGACAATAGGGGTAGGTGTGCAAGGCTGGTGGCAGGGCAAAGATGCAGCACGCAAGCCCAGCCACTTCCCATGCTGGTCCATCAGCCCAGCCCCCTCTGCATGCCGGCTCTCGGCCACTAGGGCCCCATCCCATTTCTGGACAGCACTGGGGAAAGCCTAAGACCCTCCAGCCCGGGGTGCTAGCCATGAGGAGCCAAGCCCTGCATGTTCCAAAGCCCTACACAGCACTGGCATGGGGCAGCCTCTCCACCCCTCAGCTAAACTCTGGAGTGGTGGGGTGAGGAGGAGGGGGGGGAAGCAATGTCCAGCCTGTTCACTCCCTATACCTACAGGATCCACAGCAGCACCTGGGGCAGGGGCTTAGCATGCTCTTCACTCCCGCCGCCCCCCCCCCTGCATCCTGCCCCCAGCGAGCATGGGACTGCTCCATCCCCTAGGCACCCTCCCCTCCTGTGCCACCTCTCTTGCCAGGTTTGCTTAAGCCCCTGCAGTCAGGTTCCC